GGGGCGATGGATTGGGGGGGGTATATGGGTTGAAGTTTCCCTCCAGTCTGATTTAAGGCACCAGCCTGAGGTCTGTTCTGCTGGGGCACCAAGAGAGAGGTCCCCTTCAGAACCAAACCTGGGAGGTGGGTGGCAGGTGGTAGACCTTGAAGGGCAGGGGCCACTTTTGCTGCTAAGGGTGTACCAAAACCAGATTAGATCATTCTTTTGGATTCCATGCACATGGGACAGTATTTTCCACTTTATTTAAAAAAAATAATAGAGAGTATTTGAGATTGTACTTCCCAGCACATGTCATCAGTTTGGCTCAAATAAACTCTTACAAAAATTCAAATAAAATAAAAGTAAAAACAATAATAACTAGGCCTGTGTTTTTCCTCTCTCCAGCATGCCCTGAGGTGATGAGAGAACAGAGAACACGAAAGAAAATACCAGATGCCAAGAAACCTCTGTCAGACGCCCTCTGGCCCTGGATCTCATCCCCACCTCATCCTGAATCCCAATCTTCGGAGGGTGCCTGTCTCCTCCACCCATCTCTGAAACCCAGCATCCTTTTTAGCTGCTAGAAACCATTTTTTTTAAACAATGTGGTAGAAGTGCATTCTGGAAAAGAATCCAGTTCCCAGCCCTCACCCTTCTAGACTCATGAGCTCACAGCCGAGAAGAGAGAGAAGCACAGAGCATGGCCCATGTGTCCTTGTGGCCTCAGAGTCCCCTCCCACTGCACAAAGTCCAGGTTTAAGACCCTTCTCTTGCTTGACACCTGGCCCAGGTTGGAGCCATACATGCCCACTGGCTCCCTGGCCAGATCTGGAATTCATTCTTGTGCCTTTCCTCCCAGAATGGCCCCTGCAATCCTGGGCATCTGGCCAGGAAGCTCAGCCCCCCAAAAGGGCTGTGCCCTGGGCACCTTCAACCTCATGGCTTTTCATTTGACTGGCCCCCTTTGTCTCTTATGACATCCACATCAATGTGGGAACATTGCGGCCTACAGCACAAATGAGAGCTGCCACTAATCATCCTTGTCCTACAGTCCCAAAACCACACACACCCTCTCAATCTAGAACATTCTCAAGCCCTTTTAACACAAATACCATGCCACAGGGCAATCTGATCAATACCTCCTAAGGGAATGAGCTGTCCCCACTTCTCCAATATCCCCAACACAGAGTTGGGATGTGCCCCTTGGGCTCCCACCAAGAGCAAAGGCTGAAAAGCTGGCTCTGAAATAGGCTCATCCTGGAAACACAGACCAAGAAGAAGGAAGATACAGGGTATTGGATGTGTATTTGTTTCAAAGGTCACCTGGGAATACAAATTCCAGTGGACTGGACGCTACAGCCACCTGCATTCAAAGGAGACAGACTTTTCTAATATGGTCCAAACACCAGTTAGGTGGCTTCTAGAGGTAGTGAGTTCCACGTCTCCGGAGGTATTTAAGAAAAGGCTGGACACTGCTTGCAGAAACTGGTCCTCTGTGCTCCCCTCCAATCCTAAGAGTCTCTAGTTCTAGGAATCTGAGCAAAAGTTGAGCAGGCACATGCTCCGGGCCCCCTTTGTCAGCTCTGTAGCTGGCTTCTTAGCTGGGTGTCATCGAGGTTCAGTTGAACCACCCCAATTTCCTAGTACGAGGTTCTTGGCCTCAGCGGAAATGTCCAGTGCTTCTCAACCTGGATGGCAAGGGGCTGAGTTTGGAGCTATCCCAACAACAGGAGGGAGCTCGTGGCATTTAGTGCTAAGAAAAGGGATGCCCAGCACTTTGCCACGTCAAGGAATTGCCCCAACGCCAACAGCTCCTGCCTTGAAAAATGCCAGGTTTCTGAGCCACTTTGGGCCTGCGTATTCTGGGGCCCAATGTCGCCCTTATGAGGCCAGGAAATTTGGGGGCTTGGGGTTTTTTAATGTGTAGTTCTGCTCTCTCCCAAATGTCAAGTAAAGGAGGGACCCTGTTCTGGGCCCAGGTGACTATCTGGAGCCTGAGGCAGCAGAGGATAGGGGATGGGCCTCCCTAGGCTGCCCTCCAAGGGCCCCCCTCTCCCAGGCCCTAGACTCCGGTTCAGGTGACCAGCTTTGCTCACCTGAGACCGACATGGTCCTAAAAAACCCAAACTCCTACCAAGTGAATGCAGTAACTCTTGGAAGGCCAATGTCTTGCAAGAAAAGAAAAAAACAGCCAGGGATAGGAACCAATTCACCCTACCCAATCCCATGATTACTAAATGCCTGCAGAGGCTATAGACGGACAAAGGTTCTGACCCCATTCAGCCCTCAAGGACCCTGCAGGCTAAAGATTCTGGCTGCACAAGAAATTCCAACAGGTTCAACGTGGCCTACCACCACCCCTCCGGACCACCAGCACCCCAGACAACCAACAGGCAAGCAGAACCAAGGACCCCAACTAAGCCACAGCAGTCCTTCCAGAACACAGAAAGCCCCCTGAGGAGGCGTCTCCAGATCAGGCCCCTGTTACAGGTGTGAGAAGTTCCGTCCAAACAGGGCCACCATGTCCAGCCAGGCTGCTACAGGCACCCTCTGAAATTGGCTTTGCGAAAGATTTGTATCTGTGGGGCAGTTTTGGTAAAAATGTAATGGACCTCGATCCCTTGTCGTAAAGGAACAATGGATTTTTCTCTTGTGACACATGGGGGCATCAGAAGTCCTGTCCCAAAGTCGAAGTTCATATGCCCATCCTTCCCATGGCGAGTTTTGCGGTTTTTAAAGACAAAAACTAATTCATTATGATTCCTGTTGTGATGCGAGAACATCATTTCCATAAACTGGGGGATTTTTATGTGAAATAAACTATAACTGAGAATAGAAGTTTGCTACTTTTGTCTATTTCCAAGGGCTGTGGCCCTTGTTGGTCTTGGGTGAGTTTCAGAGGAGAGAGCTTTAACAGCTCTGTCCCCTGGGTGACCTTGGATAACCTTGGGCCATAATCTGTCCTGTGTGGCTTCCATCTGTCATCTGTAGAGTGGGGGCCTGATGGGTTATTCTGATGCCCCTTCTGACTCTGACTCTCTGTGATTCATTTCCTGCCCCTAATCCTTTCTAGAATCAACCCATCAACCCTGGCTGGTGTGGCTTAGTGGTTAGAGCGTCGGCCCACATACTGAAGGGTTGAGGGTTTGATTCCCAGTCAAGGGCACATACCTCTGTTGCAGGTTTGCTCCCTACCCTGGTTGGGGCCTGTGGGGGAGGCAACTAGTCAATGTGTCTCTCTCACTTCAGTGATTCTCTCTCTCTCTCTCTCCCCCCACCTTCCACTCTGTCTGAAAACCAATGGAAAAATATCCTCAGGTGCCCGGCAGGCGTGGCTCAGTGGTTGGGCATCAATCTATGAACCAGGAGGTCATGGTTTGGTTCCTGGTCAGGGCACATGCCTGGGTTTCAGCTCAATCCCTAGTAGGGGGCGTGAGAGAATCAATGACTCTCTCTCATTATTGATGTTTCTCTCTCTCTCCCTCTCCCTTCCTCTCTCTGAAATAATAAAAACATATTTAAAAACATATATATATATCCTCAGGTAAGGATTAACAACAAAAAACAGTCAGCAATTAATAGTAATAATATGTTAATTATATATTTATGAATAATTATATATTCTATTAATTACTATAGTATTATTATAAATGTATTATTATCATTATTATTACTATTGAATGGGAAAACTCCTTCCTCTCTACACTCACACCAACCCTTCTGGCACCAGATGTGGGGGCTTTTTCCCCACTAAGCAATTCTCCAGTTCTTGGCAGATACCAGCTGAGTGTCCTATAATTTAACTCAATTCTGACACTATCCCAAGTTAATGCAGACTCCACAGGTTAAGGGCTCAGTCCCATAATTTTCCCACCAGATGTTGGTCAAAAGTAGTGGGTGCCCAGGTTACCCACACTTCTGCGCCACTTGGCTACAAATCAGGGTTCGCATACATCCCCCAGCTTCAGGGTTGACAAGTTGCTACAGTAGCTCACAAAGCTCAGGAAAACAGTTGACTTACTAGATTAGCATTTTTTATAAGGAACAGAACTCAGGAACAGCCAGATGGAAGAGGTGCACAGAGCAAGGTTTGGGGAAAGGGCTCAGAGCTTCCCTGCCCTCTCCAGGCCTCCCAGCTTGTGGACGTGCTCACCCACCTGGAAACTCTCCAAACCTCTTCATTTAGGGATTTTTGTGGCGGCTTCATTACATAGGTGAGATTGATTAAATTGTTGGACTTTGGTGATTGACTCAGTCCCCAGTCCCTCTGCCCTGAAAACTCCATCCTCTAACCCCATGCTGGTTCCCCTAGCTATCAGCCCCCATCCCATGGTTACAGGGCTTTTCCAAAGTCACACCATTGCACAAACTCAAGTGTGGTGGAAAGGGCTTGTTACAAATAGCAAAAGACACCTTTTTCATCTTTATCACTCTGGAGCTATTTCAGGCACCGAGGAGAAAAGCCCAGATATTATAACAAAAGGTTCTCCCTCTTATCATTTGGGAAATTACAAAAGTCTTAGGAACTGTGTGCTGGGAACTGGGACTAAGATCAAATATATATTTATAATAAATCACAATATCACAATAATAATAATAACAATAATAATAATAGCCTGTGCCCAACTAGTGCAGTCCCATGTTACTGAAGGGGAGACTGGGACACAGAGATGATGTGGCTCACCCTAGGTCACATGGGACAGTTGAGGGGCTTTGCCCCTCATAGGGTGGGTGGAACCTTCAATCCAGATGTGCATCCCAGCTCCATCAGCAAGCAGATGTTTGAACTTGGGTAAGTGTGTCCCTCAGCTTCCAGAGGTACAGAGCAGGGACCAGCAAGGTCATGGCCCACCCCACCCCATCTCCATGCTGCTGAGAGGCATGAGGCCAAACCCAGTGACTCCTCCAAGCCTCACATGATCACTAGATGACCAGCCCCTGGTGTCACACTGAGATTTTCTGAGAGGGCCCAGGTCACCAGAGCACAGCTATCTTGGCACTTCCCATTCTGGACCTTAAGCCCATCTTGACACAGTCCCCTTGGAAAGAGAAGCTCCCACAGGGCGGGAGGGGGGGGCGGTGCTGGCGC